TGTCTAGGAACTAAGGACCAATGTAGATCTCACATTTAGTGGAGGAGGGGAGGGGGCAGGGGAAACATGAAGTATGCTTTCCAGGGAACCACCTGAAAATATGCCTTAGTCATTTACGATCTCTGAAATCCTCTTTTCCATTGGTAGCCTCCAAAGATGCCTTCTCTATTTCCCATCAAAACGTTTATCCTTTGTGCCCTCTTTTACCACATTTTGCAGAGCAATCCCACTCTGCCTCGAAACATTCAGATTTCACTCATCTCCTAGATCAGTAAAATGAAAGACCTAGCACTCAACAGGACCTATTCTCCTTACAAGCCTGCTTAGTAATTTCCTACAGTAATTAGAGTATGTCCTTTGGGATCCTTTAGTGTTTGGAAAGATAATAGTGAGAATTTTATAAAATTGACAAAAGACATAAAGCTTTTCTAGATGTTTCTCAGTGGGACAACTGGTATGAATTATGTAGCTTGCCATTTACAGGAAGCAAAATTGTCTCTATTAATAATCATAGACAGTTACTTAAAAATTATGGAGTTAATGGATAAATAACATCTATTTAACAATATTCTATATCGTTTTAAACTGTGGAACATTTGCATAAGCTCAAGAGAATACCTTACTGATTACATGAGGAGCAAAGTGAGATATTTTCTTAGTGATAGAAATTAAAATTTTGAATGGAATTTTTTTTACTCTGCATATAAACTGTGATAATGCTAATAAATAATTTTTATAAAAGAAAGTTTTAGCTGTCATATGAAATAAGTTTCTTTTGGAATCAACTTTTAATAATACATTAATAAATCTGATCTTTTTCACTATAATTATTTTTCTACTCAAGTAAGCATGAATTAAAGACTTACATCAAACAAAATTATTCTTTAAAAAAATGTAATATGATTGTTTAACCAATATACAGTACACCTGAAACTAATACAAAATAATACTGAATATAAACTGTAATTGAAAAAATTTTAATTAAAAGGAAAGATTTTTCAATATTTAAACTTGTCTCTACCCTGTTTGTATAGGAATCCATGTTTTGTGGACAGAATCAGGTGGGCTTCATTATTCTGTGTGTGTGTGTCTGTGTGTGTGTGTGTCTCCTTGGGACCTGTAAATATTGAACAGAGTTAGAGTTGTGTTATTAAGAATGGGAGTAGCCTGTTCCATTTTTTAGGCCAAATAGTATTTTTATTGGCTGAAAAAACTATTTGTCTTTTTGATATAGCTCATGAAATTCTGAGTATAACTATATCCATTGAACAGTGAAATTTGGTGTGAAGTTTTATACTCAAATACACCTTAACAAAGAACAGGTTAAATTTCCGTTGAACCATGGAAAATGCTGTACTATTATCTTTGGCATTTGTATATTCTATTGTCTGTAAAGATCTTACCTCACTAAAAGCCAGTCTCACAATTGGTCATGAATTTCTTGAAAGCTAGGCAGAAAAAATTTATATATCTTTTAAATTACATTATATTATTTTACAAAGGAATTGTGGAAAATGGCGAGATATCTGCCTCAATTTAGGTGTGGCACAGAAAACTAGGACAACACTTACTTTTAGAAATATCAAGTGTTACTGTTTTAGAATTAATTACATAATTATCCAGCGGAACACAAAGATCCCAAGGTGCCTTGATAGGAACACTACACGTCCAAATAAAACAACAATAATTGTCATCTATATTCCAAGTGCTTTATTAACTATAATTTTTTAACTACCACATCTCAGTGTATAAATAAATATCATTAAGAATATTAATCTTTCTGTTATACTTTATGCCAAATACAGCAGAACTTGGATCGTGATAGTTGATAGGATAGAAATAATTCAGAGTGTTTTATTCACAGTAAAAGACATAAGACCTGACTGCATTCCATTTATCTACCCTTCCCTTTTGGGGAAGAGTTGGCCTCACCTCAGACCCCACAGTTACAGTATTGCCCCACCCCCAATGGTGAACAAGAAAATGTCAATACTGAGACTTCCCAGGAGTGAGCCTTCTTAGTGCTGTAATACCACAGTATCTGACCAAAAGGTTGAGCATCAATGCATCCTTTGGCTTGATGTATGAACAGAAGAGGGAACTGTGTATTAAAAAAGAGGGTTTTATAGAAAGTAACCTCACAGGGTGATCTGATCATTTTTCCTCACTGAGCAGGTCATGGAGGGTAATATGTCTCAGGCCTATAACTTCTTTAGTGAAAGGTTTTAAGCCAGCACTCTCCATTATTTTTGTACATCTAGGGTAACACACCTTTGAAATACCATTAACTAATACTCCTCAAAGCAAGTAATGACCCTTGAAAGAGCACATAACCTTGTTAACTATCCAATAATCCAAACCCTGCCTTGCTTTCTCCAGTCTTCCTTAATTTCAAATGCATAAAATCAGCTACAAAACTGTTATTTTCTGCAGCATTTGAGATCTTTTTCCCCAGCATATTTTGTTGGTTTGGCTCAAATAAACTCTTATAAAAAGATTCTCCAAAAAACATTAACCTTTTTGAGGTTTAGAAATAAGAAAACTAAGGCAAAGTAATTGATTTGAATGATAAAGTAGGCATTATCACCTTGAAGCATTTGAAGAGGCAGGTATTCAATAGGAACAATGCATGTTAGTAGAGAACAAAAATAGCTCTTGTGGCTAGATACTAATTAATTAAAAATATCACCTTTCTTCCATGCTGAGTGATCAACCCAATTTTAATTTTTTTTAAAGAATTGCTTAGCATCTTTGAGACTATTGGGAATGCCTAAGATGTGATAGAACTTACCTTAATGTCATCATTCAAACCATTGCATTGGGAGATTGAAGAGGTATAACAAATTGAAAGTTACAACATCTACTTGGAGATAAATTCAGATTTACAAACTACATCTTGCTAGTGAAGGAATACTTTTTTATGATTTTTTTTTTTGTTAAGATGGGCATGAACAAATATGTTAGTATGAGTATAAGCTGTGGGCCTCCAGGACACTTGATAACGTTTTGTAAGACCATAATCACTAAGGTAAAAACTACCGTTGGAATAGACATCTACAGAGCCAAGGAAAGCTAACATTATGCCTAAAACACTCTAGCAAAAGACAGGGTGAAACAAGGCTGGTTGGGCACAACTTATAAAGCCTGCAAAGTAAAGAGATATTCTCTGACAGAGTGTTCCAGAACTGCAGACTCATTGGACAGAAAAAGACTTGTGATTATTGACCATTTGGGGAGAACCTGAGCCTCAAGGAAGCTGGTCAACTAGCTTCATCTGGAGAGATAAGACAAATAGTTACCTTGTAGTGATCTGCAAGGACTCTACTACAGGGCCACTGAGGAAAAGAATGAACACATTTTAGCCTGACTCTGCTTTGCTGTTCTGAAATGGTGGAGGTAGAGAGGAAAAAATTGGTTTGAGGCTTCATCACAGAAATATTGTTGATGTTTGGATAGCTAAAGGACAGACATTTTGGTTAACTACATATTTATGTCACTGAGTGAGGGTCTCTTTGTCTGATGACATCTTTTCTCTGAGGTAATTTATGTACATATATAAGCAAGTTCTGAATTCGTATGTGTAGTAGAGTTTAATTGCAAGGTATATCATATTTGTCTCAAGTACAGTTTGCTCCCAAAGTTGGAATTATTCACTACTGCATGATGAAGATGTTTCATCTTTCTGAGAGACAATTGGAAAAAAATTTTCCACTCTATCACAGTCCCTGCTAGCTGAGGGCTAGGGATTTGTGGAGAGCATGGGAACAATTTGCTTATTATCCACCCATCCTTGAAATATTGAGACCTGAGCATCCATTTGAATTAACTTATACTCAACGGGCAATAAGTTGTTCTTCGACAGTACAGCATTCAAATGATTACTTATTCTCACACTTAAGAATCAAAGAAATAAAAGAGTACCATTAAAGGGCCAAACTTCACACTAGATACACTGACAAGCAGAGCATAACATCTTACTCTAAAAGATCCATTAAGAGAAGCATGGTTTTAAAAAAATTCTGAATTTATAACTAAAAAATAATTATTTAAATTCAATTGTTAGATCAAATCTACTTAAAAGTCAAACTTCTCATATCACCCATCTAAGTGCCGTATGTTTTATCATACAGTTTTGAAATGGTGAAAGTGTACTTAAAATATGCATGTGTGAATGTTATGTCTTTGCATTTTTAAGAATGGTGAGAAGGCATAGAATTTTATAAATAGTGTTCTATAGAGGGGCCCTTTGTAACTTTATTTAAGGTTTTATTGTTTTTTGTTTTTGTTAGAGATGTGCTTTGAAAAGTCTAATTTTACATACATATATATATAAACATATACACACACACATGCTATGTAATTCTAGGGAAATTTGTGACCAGTTAAATTTATCTTTCCTTTGGACTGAAAAAAATGAATGCTTTACCTTTGCTGCCCAGTCACCCTTTAGGTCTTTGACGGGCAGCACCCCATCCATCCTTGCCTTTTGCCTTTCCTCACCATTGTGATTTGGGTGCCGTCCTTTACCAGTCTCATGGTGAATATATTCTTGCTTTTCCTCCCCCTTTTTCCTACTTGTTTTTCCTCTCTGAATACATTTCACAGATGACCGTCTTCCAAAATAACAACATCAATTAATTTTTTTAACTTAAGAAAAAATCATATTTAGCCCCGAGTCTGCCCTCTCCATTGATGTGTATAGTGCGTAAGAGGCTGTGCAGGGACTGATAAGCCCCGTTTGTGAAGTCTCTTCAGTAGGAGGCAAGGCGCTCGCTGCTCCCGCAACCTGCTATTTATTCAGCCATCCCTGGCCCTAGGTGGGTTGAGAGTTGACCCACCCATCTCAGGGGGCTCTGAAACCTAGCCAGGAGACAGCTCTACTTCTGTGTCTATGATTGGAAGTTGTTCCTCATTGTTTTTTAATAGACAACAGTTTTCCCTTGAAGGCATCTGCAGCATACTATTATGGTTTTTCACCACACTCCTTTTCCCTTTTGCAGAATCTGATGATCTCCGCGGGGACCCTGAACTCAGCCTTCAAAGTACTTCTGCCCCCCAGGATGCTCGTAATTCAGTGGTAGATGTTGGTGGCCTTGAAAGCATCACCCAGTGTCCCCAGCAGCTTCCCCAGATGATGGCTGCAGGTAAATATCAGTGGCCAGCCCAAGAAACAAGGCATTCTGAATTCTTAGTGGAGAAGTTTGCCCAGCCATGATAATATGCATTGAACCCAGACTCTGGGATCCTTAAAAAGATCAGGCTGTGGAACAAGTGGACATCAAAGAATATTAAGTCAATTTGACGTATTTTGCAGTGTGCATGTGTTCTTTTTAGCTCTGTGATATTTGTTTTTAATATCATTTATTTTTTATTTTGTTTTGATGAAAGTCTATGCTTATAAGAAATATTTTAGAAAGTCACTTTAGGCAGACACCTGCAATTCCTTAATGCAATGCTGTAAAGGGTTTGTAAAGGAGGAAATCTGTTCCAAGGTAACACAACAAATTCAGTCAAGACCAGTTTCATGACTTGACAACTATTCTAGAGATTCTATGCGTTAAAGGTATGCCTGTTCCAGCATTGTTCTCAGAATCAGATGAATGTATTTACTCTCCGTCTACCAAGCCAATTGACTTGTTTTACCAAGAGAGTATTCCTGCTTTACCTCTCAACCTTGGAACTTAACTAATGTTGTTTCACTAGGAGAAGGAAGTGATTCTTCAACTTTTTCCAGAGGTACATCCATAACGGCATTCTGTGTATAATGTAAACTATATGTCATTAAGTTTCCTCCCAGAATGTATTTGGAAACGGTTTGTGTCTGAAGTAAACATTGCTGTATAGTATGTGCTTTATTTCTTTGTGATTTGGGAATATGCTAAATGAAGCCTTACATCTCTAGAAATGGGATTTCCTTTAAAACACACACTCGTGGCTGTTGATTCTAAGTCATTGTTTGTTTTTTCCTGCAGCTGCTGATGGTTTGGGAAGTATAGCAATAGACACAACCCAGCTCAGCATGTCTGTGACAGATCCTACAGCCTGGGCCACCGCCATGAACAATTTGGGCATGGTTCCCGTGGGGTTGCCTGGACAGCAGCTTGTGTCTGGTAAGCCTTCTCCTGGGTTTGAAGCAGCAGTGCCAAAGGCTGTAGGTGACAGGTGCCCAGTAATCTCTCCACATGCAAGTGTTGAGCATGGTCTGTGATTTACGATTGGGGCATGTTTGGCAGTTGTGCTTTAGATGTTTTTCCTCATCACCTTGCTCTTCTGCCTAATAGCTGTTCTCAGAAAGAAAAGCTATATGCCGTATCTATCATCAATTTCAGATTTTAAATTGGTGAATAGAGGGCTAATATTTGCTTTTCAATGTGCAAAACTCATATACCTATGGCATTTGATTCCACAGCCTTCTCTTTGATGTAGATGGTCCTTATGGTTGTCGCTCTCATTAGTATTCTCGTTTTAAAAACAAGGAAGCAGAGGACCAGAGCTCAGGTTATTTTTCCAGCACTGAGGTGGCAGAGCTAGAAATCCAGCTCTACTGACACTAAATTCCACATTTCCTTTTCACCACACTTTGGAATCATAACACAATGCATTCAATAGGTAAAATGTTTAGAAATGTCACAAAGTAGAAGGTCATCATTGAATTTAATACATATTTATTGAGATTTTCCATGTGCCCTCTAATAAGAGCTTTGGGGAATAAATATATATACATTTATAAGTGTCCTTGAGGAGCATGTCTCCCTAAATTGAAAAACACAGCAACAGAAAAACAGCATAAAAATAATGTGTAGAATCAGGTGTTAAGTAGCAGTTCAGGATAGTAATGTAGCCATTTCTGGAAAGATCAATTACTGAGGCTCTGAGAAAGATGTTATCAGTAAGATAGGACTAGAGCTGTCTGGAAAGATACATAGGATTTGCACTGTTCACTTACTCATTCATTCATTTGTTCATTCAACACATATTATGAAGACACTGTCCCGGTGCAGGGACTCCAGCAGTGAAGGAAACAGGCCCTTTTAGAATGTGCAGTGGAGAGGTGACGGTCAGTTACGGTATTAAGTTCCATACTCACAGGTCTGTGTACTGTGTCCTGACTTAATCAAACATTTAGTTTCTTTCCCTTTTTTTTTTTTTTTGGTCAATAAAGGCCGTAGATATAAAAGTTTAAACTAGCTGTAGTAAATTATATACAATTTGTGTGTATGTGTGTACATATATGCATAAACATGTCAAATACTTGTGTCTAATAATGAGAATAAAGATTTGTTTTTGGCTACCCTCATTTTTCTACATTATCTACCCACATAATTGAAATATTCATATAGCAGACATTACTTTTGTCTCCATCTCCCACTTTTCTCAGAAAATGTTGTGTGACCTCCAGAGTAAGCCACACTTCAGTAATTCATTATTTCTTTCTTATTATTTTGAGTCTTCTGACATTTCAACTATGACCGATTTATGATTTTCTCAGCAACTTACCATGTAAAAAATTACAGCCCTACTTGTTATAGAAGATAAACCATATCTGCCCTGAATTATGTTCTCTATCACTTGTATTAGCCAAACTGCTTAAACTGTGTTTGAGCCCTTCAGGGTCTTCCTGCGAGTCCCTTCTTTATTTCCCAACTCTACCAATTGAACTACACTGTGCTTTGTTCTCAGCGCTGCCAGCAGCAGGGTGTATACTACTTCAGGGGCGAGTTCTGTTTTATTTGATTATGTATTTTATTATATTCTTTTTTTCTGTGCAAATATTTTAATTATATTAGATATAAGTTTTCTATATGCATTTTAATACCTTATTTTATTTTTTTATTTTACTGTTTTATGTTTAAAAGTTATAAAACTCCATTGAATAAATCTTCCCTAGTTTATTTAATTATTCCAGGTTTACATTTAGGCTGTTTTCATTTTTTCCCTTTTACTATCCAAGTTACTTTGGAGAACATAATCTCTTCAGGCATATAAAAGCATTTCATCTTTTCTATAAAATTATGATTGTATCTCTTTTATGGGATTATTGTGAGATTTAAATACATACACACATAAAATACAGCTATTTGTTTCTTTCCTGCATAGTTGGAAAGTCACAGAATGTTGCTTCTCACTCAGTGTTCATGCTGGGCCATCTCTGAAATTCTTCAGTGTGCCTGTAGAATGTTAGAGGCAGCCTTTAATGTATCAGAAGGGATTTAAAGATTATTCAGTGCAACCTTCCTTCCAAAAAATCTCCTCTAAAACATCTCTGACAGGATTATGGAGAGGCTGGATTTTATGAGCACTTGGCTTTCTCCCAAAGTTTCTCATATTTCTAAATGACCAACTACTCTTCCCATATTAGTTGAAATTAAACTGACACTAAATCTCTTTCCTTACTATGATTTTTATTAAAATTATTAGCAAAGCAAGGTGTACATTTTTCATATTCTCTTGATTTTATCAAAACATTTTTTAGGAAATCAGATCACTTACTACATGCATTTCTAAGGTATAATTGTAAGCTGCCACAATTACACCTCTTCCATTTTCGTCCCACTTCATCATCCAGGTGTTTCCCACCACAATCCCATTACCACTTTTAGAAACTTCCCCTTTTACCTTCTTCAGCATGAAATGTTATTTAAGATCATTACACTGAATTTGTTCATTTTATCCAAAACATATCATTATATTGTTATATTCTAGCCCTAAATCCCATACTCCAAATCTTGGTTTATCTGTGAGATAATATTTACGTCTTTTATTATTGTTCATGTTATTTATTTTCCCATATGTTGTGTATAATTTTTTTTTGTTTTTGTTGATTTGTTCTTATAATCAATACCTTGTACATTGGCATTGTCAACTGATGGTTGTTGGCGTCGGTGTCAATTCAACATCAACAGGAATCCCCAAGTTGAGGTGAAGGAGGAAACTTTATTCAGTGCAAACAGCTCACCCGTGATACAGCACAGCTGTGAAAACAGCATGGCTGTTAGGAGACCCTGGGGCCAGGCCCCTCGCCAACCTAACAGCTCTGTTCTGCTCTGCTCTGCTGCTCTACTCTGCTCTGTGCAAGTCTGCTCTGTTCTGTGCTGTGATGAGACATCTTTGGTGTTTCATCTCTAGAGTTTCGGCTCCAGACAGGGAAACACAGTCTTTAGTATTGGATAGAAAGGGAAAGTACATTACAAAAGCCAGAGGGGATTTGGTGTACATGGACCAAAGTCCCTGCCTTGGTCCCTGGTTGGTTCATCCTCATGTAAATAAAGATTCCAAATCCTCCTCATAGTTTGATTGGTATGAAAGGTACTGTCTTGATTGGCCAAAATGGGGCTGCTCTGATTGGTCCGTGAAAAAGCAAATGGAGATACAACTGTGCAGCTCTGATTAGAGGGGGAACACTTCAGTCCTATTGACTGAAATACGATTCCGGGGACTCCTTTAGGAGGGCCGGCTCAGATGGCAGAAACACAGTGCAGGCAGGCAATTCAGTGCAGGCTTCTCACTGAAGTACAGTTTGCATGAGAGGCCCATGTATAAAAATGGCTAATAAGCTCTGTTTTTTAAATTTGAGACCGGTTAGGCACCTAGAGCTCTTTTTAGTAGGTATCTTCTTTCTCAGGGTCCAGAGTATAGATCCAGGTTTTCTAAAATGGTCCATTGGACCATCAGTGTCTCACAGTTGTTGTTTGGTAGGGCAGATGTCATGTAAGTATTTACATGGCCTAACAACCATGGTAAACTGTGTTTAACTCAAGCAATTTGCTTTCTTTGTGAGTTTTCTCAGAGCCTTTACTATGCCTATGTGCAAAGTGTAGTTTCAAAGAGTCATATCTAGTATATAGGATTCCCCAAACTTAATTTAACCTTCAAAAAAGTCTATTAGCATCTCATGAGACAGTAGAATATAGCCATCTAAACCAAACTTTTCTACCCACTGTGGAGATCCTTTTCTACTACTATCCATCTTTCTCTGCCATATTTGATATCTTCCCTATGATCTAGTTTACAATTGTGTTTGTTTGTTTTTTCACTGAACAGTGTCACTCCACAATTTCAAGTTTCAAAATAATTCTGTGGTCAGGTGTTGCCTGAAGTGTCCCCAGTTTTCTGTGATCTACATTGTCACTTTCCAGGACTGCACCTCTGGTGTTGTACACTGAAATCCAGAATGTTAAATCCTGAGCTTTAGCTGAAATCCAGAATATTAAATCCTGAACTTTGATACCATCTGTGAGACCAGCTGCTCCTCTCTTGCATACCCTGGCTTCTTATCCAAAGTTTTAATCATCAACTGGAAGAGTTAAAAAGCAACAGCTGAGTCTCTGGGTTTTAAGTTTCTTGTCCAGGACTGCATCGCAACTGGGAATACTTTCTGGATAGGTACCTTGGCCATGAGAGTATTCCTTGCTTGTCTCGAAACTTTAATTTGTCTTTCCTAATGTCAGCAACCCCCTTTTAGTTGTTATTGACTCTAAGTTGACATATACCTTTGACCCCCAAGTGTCTGAGCATGCCATCTTTTGTATTCCAAGTACATGTTCTGAAAAAGCGTCACACCTGCCTATCAGCTATGACAGTGCTGTATACAAGACAGAGCCACATGCTTTATCAGGGACTAACCTGGAGCCAACACAAGAATATCTTTACTCTTTCAATTATTGTATATGTGAACACTCTGAATTGTTCCTTGGCTCATACCTTGCTGTTTCTTCTTCATAAGGTCTGAGTTTACTGTCACTGCCTCTGTTCCCTGCCATTCTGAGAAGAGCTTATCTTTGTAACTCATGGGGAGGCTAAAAGGGGTTACAGTCCCCTCTCCACCATCTTCCTTCCACTCTCCCATTCACTAATGCTTCCACCCGTTTTAATTCCTCTCTGCTTCCTTGAACATTTTTTCTAGTTTTCTCCTTAGGTTGTTTAATCCTCCCAGGGACACCTTTATCCTCTTTAATATGCTCAGATTTGAAGAGGCATTTGTTAAATTCCTTCGTCTCCTGAAGCATCACTCTTTTAACTGGCATTTATTGAGCCAGATGTAGTACTGAATACTGGAAATATAATTCATACATCTTACTGTCATGTTTTAGAGACTAGTGGGAGACACAGA